TTGTTGTGGTCGAGATTTTCTTAATGGTTGTGCCTCTCTACAGGGCGGTACTTTGATGAGATCAGCCAGGACACGGGGAAGTACTGTTTTGGTGTAGAGGACACACTCAAAGCCCTGGAGATGGGAGCAGTGGAGATCCTCATAGTCTACGAGAACTTAGACACCATGCGCTACATTCTACGTGTACATGGGGCCGAGAGCAACGGAGCAGAGAACGGTACACAAATATCACATCTACCTTTGCTGAGAAACAAGGAACATACTGAGATGCAATGTTATGCTATGATGCTATAATTTCAATGTCCGTCCTTTGGTTTTCAGATGAGAAGACTTTGTACTTGACGCCAGAGCAAGAGAAAGACAAGTCCCACTTCACAGACAAGGAGGTGAGCACTGCAAAGAAAGGGCACGTCCCTGTGATCTAAGTTAGACCCATTATCCATCATGCCACGTGTCCCTGACTCTGATTGTGTTTCTAGACGGGGCAGGAACATGAGCTGATCGAGAGCATGCCACTGCTGGAGTGGTTTGCTAACAACTACAAGAAATTTGGAGCCACGCTGGAGATAGTCACAGACAAGAGCCAGGAAGGATCCCAGTTCGTCAAGGGCTTTGGAGGCATCGGGGGTGAGGATGCTGTTGTTTAAGCCACTGTGTGTTTTAGGTTTTCACCATGCTGAATTGACCATGGACAAAATATAAAGAGTACCTTAGAAAAGTTTTCCTTTTTATTCCCTGCCCCCTATTTATCTTTGCAACCTGGAATAGTGTAGGAAAACAAGACTCTGTTATCAGCCACATAACAGCTTTTGTCACAATAAAAACAAGAGCTGCTTTTCAGGAAAGCTGCTCTACCTACATTTATTTTATGCTGAGATCAGCTGCAATTAAGACATTGATAGCCAGGGCTACATGATTACAAGAATGTCACAGGCTAATAATAATCATTGGCTTCACTCCATGAACTCAAGACTATAACCTATACTTACTAGGTTATGGCTGTGACTAATTCACCGTAAAAGACGCCATGTCAGACCATTAGGAAATAACTGTTTACATATACAGCAGTGTAAAATAACAGACTCCTGAGCTTTAACTAAATCCGCTACTTGTTACTGGGCCACTTGATATGGATTCTGATACAGTAGAGGGGACAGACTGTCCCAGTTCAGTTCTCTTCTCTTTTTTTCTTTGATTCACTTTCCTCCTGTCCTTTGGCCACCCTCTCTGAGTTTTCCTCAGGAGACATGATGAACAAGGCACAGTGAAGACAAATTTAAAGCACCCCAATTTATTGAGCTGTATTTGCACTGTATGTTGTTGTCCTCTTCCTTGAAGTCAGGTAAGCACTAGTAATTCCCTGTGTGATCAGTAACGTTTCACATTATCCTTCATATTCCAAGTGTTTGAATGTTGTTTCAAACATTTGTTTATCCTAAAGAGTGTGTGTTAGTTCATTTTATTTGATATGGGCATCACACTAGCATTAGAGCTGTAACATAAATTTATCTACAAGGACCAAATGCAGTGTGTTTAGTGTTTGTAGTGAAATAAACACCTGTCCACAGGAGGCTTTTTTAACTTACGATAAAAAAGAAAAAGTACATCCACAGATACATCCACAAAATACAGTTTTGTTGACAATGTTGTTTCTCTTTTAGCCATGACTCAGTACCTCTATTAAAAATCTAAAATTGTGTTGAATTTTCACTGCAGTTGGTAGACTGAAAAAAGACTGTTCTTCCAAATGAGGATATTGGTAGTCAATACCGTTAAGATATTGACCAAAATAATTTGATCCTTCGATCACTGCAAGCATTTTTTTATTTATTGTGATGTGTGATTGGACCCCTACTGCAGTAGCTACAACCATACAGACTGTGGTGTGATGAAGCTGACTGCCACGTATTTGATGGAGGTGGCAATGCAGCATGCTGAGATGCCACCAAAACATTTGAAAGTGTTGCTATAGTACAAGCCTGTGACATCTGATTAAAAATAAATGCATACGATGTGGAAAGATTATACGCAGCCTTAATATGCGATACTTACTGTTAATTGAGGCCCGTGTGAGATTCATATTGCCAAACACTCTGTCATAACTGGACATCAGTGGCATAATAAGTCAGTTTTCCAAATATAATTAACCTGGATTCCTGTTACAGGTAAGGCCTTTTTATACTGATATGTTATTGTACTGTAGACATGAGTATGATAGAGACTTTGATCATCCAAAAGCTTTGAATCCCTTCTTTATGAACAGGTGTGATGCATTACATTTAGCAGGACAGTTGTGGAATCGTTGTGGGTTTAAAATGTTGAGCAGGTGATAGCACGTCAAATTAATGTAATGGTAGTACTTTTTTTTTTTTATGAAGAAATGAATTAGTTCCCTGCACAGTTTCTCCTCAGCCTAAAAGTAAATTTGATGTTTTTTAATTCCGTAAGTACTACTTAAAAAAAAAAGAGGATTTCACAAATTCATGCTTTTTAGATACAAATACTCCCACTCCCATAGCTAAGAGGGATTAGCTTATCCTAATACAAATTCTTCCTTTAATGCTACCACGATCTAACCAAACATGACATAAGCTGGCCAGCCATCATATTACCCTTGTTAACCTATCATCTCTGTGTTCCTCAGGCATCTTGCGGTACAGGGTGGATTTCCAGGGCATGGAGTACCAAGGAGAGGACGATGAGTTCTTTGATTTGGATGACTACTAGGTAGTCGGGGACTGATATTGGGAGAAAAAAAGAAAAGCAAAGGAATGAATGAAGAAATAAGGAAAGAAAAATGCCACCTCTCTTGCAGCAAGTGAGAGGTGCGACCGTGTTGACCATATATATGACAGACACACCTTCCAATTTACCTGTTGCATACACAAACTTGCGCATACATTTCATCTGTACACACGACAAAAAGCATCACACAGGCTGAAGAGGAGTGAGATTTTCTTTCATCCAGAGAGGGAGAAAGCCCTTCCTGAATAAATCCCTGCCTTAGAGTGCTGGTTCCTTCCCCTAGTTGGATTGGACTCGACTCATTTTCTTTTTTTTTTTCCTCCTCCCCTCCATTTTGAATGAACACAACAGCAAGTTCCCAGATTCCTCGCTGTCCCCGACCCGGTCTGAAGATGAACTTTGGACTCACTCCTCACATATAGAAAATATATTTTCCTTTCTTGCCTCAACATGTCCCTACCTTCTATCTCTTTCTCTCTCTCTCTCTGTCTTCTCCCCTCTATGCTTTCTCTCTTCTTTTTTTTTCTTTTTTCTTTTTTTTTTTTGCATTTCATTTTTTTACTGGTAACTGCTGCTGTTGTATTTTATGAGAGTGGGGGATTTTTTTTACCTGGGTTTCTGTAGAGAAAGGGGGACAAAGTATTAAATTTGAACTGCTGAAAACCATTGCTACCTCCTCATCTGCTGTGGTCTCAATCCTGTGTCAGAAAGGCGGACCTTTTCTCTGCTTTTCTGACTTTAAATGAATATATACATATATATATATATATATATATATATTGTTGTAGTGCTGTGTGAGTGATAAGTATGCATGACCACTTTTGGGGGATTCTGTTGTGTAGTTAGTTCCTCAGGATCCACCTCCACATGTTGAAATTTAATTAATTTTAAATTGCAGAAAGCTAAGATCTCTTGGTATTCATTAGCATCATTAGCATAAGGTGACGTGTTCAGATCAATTCTCGTATTTTTAAGAATCTGAACCCCAACTAGAAGATTACACTTATGTGATTGCATTTGTAAATGTTATCAAAAATCCATTCAGAAACTGAATTTATCTATGCATTTCTGCTGATACAGTGATACATGTGATGTTAGTCATCTAGAAAATTACAGCTGGCATTTGCTTGCCTCTTTTAAGGAAATAAGCTAAAAGATAAACTCAAGTTTTCATTCATAACGCTTTGTAAAGAAATGCTGATGACAGAACTGCCCAAGGAGTTGTTAAAGAATGGCCTTGTTAAATACACCAAACACTCATCCATTCTTCAAAAAATGAGTCACAGCATTTCACAGGACAAACTAAGGAAGTAAAAGTGCATTACAGGAGCTTGCTTTGATGAATACTGAGTAGAGTGTTGAGGAAATAAAACATCCTACATATTACAACCATAAAACACGTCCTGCGAAGTTCACATTACAGTTCTGAGACACTGGGATGTGAGTAATTCAGATATCAACACTTAATTGACCATCAAACATACTCCTTTAATGCCAGTGGGATTCACAGGAAAGCATGAGCAGAGGTGAAATGAGGTAAAGGATGAAGGGAACTGAGGTAGTGTCTGAGCGCCTGCTTTACTCTCTGGATTACATTGTTTAAAGGCTGACAGGTCTTCCTACATCAATCCGTTTTCACACAGTTCCACATTTTACTCATCAGTTAACCCTTAATCTGCTTTTACAAATGGCTCCTGTTGTGACTATTATGTCATTTTTTTCCCTCTCCTTATTCACTGTAATGTGAATAATATTTTAACCATGCAGCATCCTGTGTGGATTTACTAAAATATGCAGTTGGATGTAAATGTACTAAAACAACCCAGACCTCTTACTAAAACTCTGTTTGATCATTTTTATCACAAAGCTTTGTGAACACATTACCTTAAATCCTTGCAGCACAACATATGCTGCTGTTTTATGCAGCGTGGTTTAAATTACTATTTCCTTTAATCACAAATGACATTAAAATAGCCAACATCCTGCAGCATCTCATAGCAAAGCTATGCGGATGATTGATTTTGCCTTAGTGTATTCCTCTTCAGGATAGCAACAGCATCTTCATCCATTTGCCCTTTTGTTTGGGGGAGTCACCGGGGAAGCCTTGGTAGCACGGTGAGCCAATCAATAAAAAGCAAACCTGCGAAGTAACGCCCCTTTTGACAAAATCCGTCCAATCAGCGGGCTCTATCGCCGTATGGGCGTCACCATCCCCCCACCCACCCTTTTGACACTGCCCTACCAAAGCTGTGTGGTTGAGCGAAGTGAATGACGTCTCTGCATTTGCGGGCCGCCGACGCAGGGCTGGGTTTCCATTTTCAGAGCGAGTTTCGGGGGGGATCGTCAACATGGAGCCGGAGATGGAGGACAAAACGTTGGAACTGATGGTAAGATTCGTTTTGTTATGGCATCCTGAACACCCGAAGTGATCAGTATGTCTCTTTATATTGGTGGAAGCGCCGAGGCTCGATTCGACGGCAGGAATGGGCTGAAGCGGCTTGTCGGGAGAGGTGGAGGAGAAAGGAGGGGGGACCAGAAAACAGAGGGAGGGCCTGAAATTATCGATACATTTCGCTAAGAATGCTCCGCATACTGGTCGGATTGATAACCGAGACCTTGACCTCAACATCTGGTAAATGGAAATCATATGTTGTTTTGGATACAACTGGCAAACAGAGGGGAAATTAAAAGGTTGATGTCCAGTCGTCGGCCGAAGACAGCCGAGGATTCTCGGGGTAGCGTTCACTGCGGTGACGCTGCGCCACTTTAACTGGGCCCTGTCTGATACTTAGCCATCCAGCTAACACAGGCTAGAAGGCGATGAACCACATAAATTTACGGGTATGTTATATTATGTAGTTTATGTTAAGGCAGCCTACATGATAACAGATGTGTTGAGCTGTCAAATGGATTCCTCGATACAACGGAATGCTGCTTAAATCCTTATATCGTGCTGGTTCTCTGTTTATATTTTCGAAGTGCGTAGAAGGAAGTGTATAGCTTTTTCATTCACATAGCGTTACCACGATTAGCGAGGTAGCAATTAGCTTAATAGCTAGCATGCTAAAAGTGCTAGGGGTACTTGACAGTCGCTACCGTACCAAAACAGTAAACTGGTCAGGTCGGTAAAAGCTCGTTTGATAACCAGAAACACGAACTGTCTATTTAACATGGCTTTCCTTTATTGACGTTTAGATTTGGTCAACAAGTAATCGTCTTTTTGTGGAATGATTAGCTATCTTGAAAAGCTAGCCAGGCTAGGCTAATGTTAGCTCAGTAATAGCTTACATTAACATTACAGGGGTCAAAGTGGTCTCAAGGAAGACGCCAATTAAGACAAGGTATTGTTTTGTTAATGAACTTAAACGTGGATAGTTTCCATTCCTCTGGCAGGTGTTTATTATAATTTTTGGATCACCGCACAGCTCTCAGTGTCTGTACCAAACAAATCAACTGTATTGTCATAAGTTACTCGCTATTGACATAGCCAGGTAGGCCTACAAAGTAAAATCTTCGATTGTACAGTAGATAAGATGGACCAGACGTGTCCTGTGTGACAGAACCGTGGCTGAGTGAAGAGTGTGTCTTACTTTTGCTAAAGCAAAGTGTCTACAATTATCATAGATGTTTATAAACCATAAATAATCATCCTTGAGAGGAATTAAGTGTTACTTTAGAGACAAATTAGTATTGGAGATAGCCACTAGATCAAACACTAACCAGACGTCAGGAACGTGTTTAAAAAGTTATCAAATTTAAACCACAATTAAAATTACTGTGTAGACAGAACAATTAATACAAAGTAATAGCAACACTGCTTTCCACATCTTTCTGTGATTGTTCAGGCTTTATTTTGGTCCCGAGATAAGATAAATAATAATAATAATGACTGAAAACAGAACTTTACCCAGGTGCTTACTCAGTTAAGAGATTAGAAAAGAAAAGATCAGAAAAGAGATTAATAGTTTTGACAAAGTATGGACAGCACATACTGTGTGTAGCCAATGGACTTAATGAATTTATACATCTTGATCACACATATTAAAATGGAGGGAAATATACATTTTTTGCAGGATTTGGGGACTGTAATCCTACAGGCCTACAAAAATGAAATTTGTCTGGGTTGTGTCTGTGTATTTATTTTGATTTTATTTTTGTCCCAGTGTTATTCACTAACCACTCATGAGAATGGGGATGGCAGAACAGTGGGTGGGGTTTCTGTCAAAACCAGTGGCAATAATTGACAATTACTCCCATTGCCCCTCCCTCTCCTCTACCTATCCCCACCCAGTTCATGTCTAATAATGCTTCTGTGTGTATGTTTATCAGTCTGTATCTTGTGTGTGAAGGAGTGTGTGTTCCTGCGCTCACTGTGCCAATGTGTGTGTAGCTCTAATACTGGTTTTTCCCCTCACTATCCCCCACCTCCTCCCCTTCTTCTTCTCTCCTCACCTTTTGATGGTTACACACCCACCTCCTCACAATTTCCAAACCAAACCTTTTTGTTTATTTGATTATTTTTTCATTTTACCTTTATATTCTTAACACTTTTTACACACTCCGCCTGTCCCGTTCCTCACCAACTCCTCACCACTTCCATCCATCTATACATTCATTGATCCATCCATTCACTCACCTCCTTTGGTTTCCTCCTCCCAACTTCCCTCATCAACCCCCCTCCTCTTTTCCTTTACTTACCATCTCTGGTCTCTCGCTCTTCCCTTTCTCTTCCTCCCTCACCCTGTCCACTTCGTTCTCCTCCTCCCTTCCTCCCTTCCTCTCTCTCTTTCACACAGTGCTCTGTGCCTCGCTCTCTCTGGCTGGGCTGCTCCTCGGTGGCTGAGAGTTTGTGTGCACTCAGGTGCCTGCAGAGCATCCCCTCCACCCGGGCTCACAACCAGGTTCTGCCTCTCTCCTCTTAATTCTGCTGCTCCTCCTCCTCTCCCTTCCCTTCCTCCCTCGCCATCTCCACACCCTTCACTTTTCTTCGCCCACTCCACATGACTCCTCATACCACCTTGGTGCAGACAGCACCCACTCACCCCCTCACCCTCCTACCTCCTCACCTTCCGTTGTCCTTTCCTCCCTGTTGGAAGCACACTGCTCTCAGGTTCTTCTCTGGTGCATCCTCAAACTCTCTCTGCTTGAAACAAAATTGTAGCTTTATAAACTGTAATTGACTTCCTTATAATCATGTCAAATCACAGTTCTTGCATCTAAATTAGGTCCCGGAAAACTTAAAGTCAAACAGTGATTATGCCATGTAATGAAAACTGAAGACTTTTACAATCAGTTTGAATACTAGACTGTTTCCTATGAAATTTGGCATGAGTGGAAGCAGGATGCAGGGCGTACCAGAGAATAACCCCGCACTGAGGAGTAACATTTTCTCCCCTTCTACCTGGAGGTGTGAGGGCCGAGGTGGGGGGTCTTCCTTCAAGCTCTGAGAGGCTACATGCTTGCTTGCCTGCCTGCCTGGCCAAACCTGGTCTGTCTGTTTTTTATTTCTCCTTCCTCCTTCTCTCCTTCTGCTCTGCATGTTCATCAACACCAGCAAGCCCATTCTGGCTTCTTGTCCTGTCTGCTTTGGTCTTGGTACCTGACCGTTTGTTTGTTTGTGTGGTTGTGTTACTGCCAACCACTGATATGTTCTTTGTTGAATTTGCTCTCCACATGTAGCAGCATCTCCAAGTTAGATGGTTAATTACACCGAGCAAAACCTGGAATGGCTCTTGAGGGGGTTCTGGGTTTTACTTAGAAAATCCAGATCGTTAGTAATCCAGTGTCTAAGATAGACCCCAGGTTCAGCCCGCCAATGGCAACTCTTCAACGTCCGGAGAAGCACTAACAGATAGGCTATGAAAATGAATATTCAGACAGGCCTCTATTTTAGCTTTTTCACCAGCAAAGCTGTTTTCAAAGAGTGTGACCTTGGCTCAGTCATCACCTACACTGATATGTGATAGCATTGACCCTCTCCCAGGTAGAAGGCTTTGCCTGTCCCATTTCCCCAAATTAGTTTGTGGTATCTGTGAACAGAAAATATACATTGTATAGAAAAAAAATTTGCAGATAAAGTTGCAGATAATAGCAATTATACATTAGTCCTTTTTTGGTGTTTTCCTATGTAGTGATGCTATGGCAAGGTTGTGCTGTTCCTGCTCATTTCTGGAGAGTTTGCAGTGTATCCTTTAAAGAGTTTTCGTAGCTGAGTGTGTGTTTTACAGTGTACAAACATGTTGGTTTAGAGTGGTCTCCAACATTAATAATTTGGTGTATCTTCAGTCAGAGCTAAAACTACAATGCTCCCTATGAGGATTAGCAGGTCTACATGTTGGTTTTGTGTATATATATGTAATGATAAATGTAAGGTTATGACATTGCTGCCAGACTGTTCATGACTCCCAAAGCAGTGTTTATGCTATAAAGAATCTGTTATGTGTTTATTATTAGATTTTATTCTTCGTTAAGTGTTTAGAGCCAGGCTAAATGGTCAGCCTCTCACTCCATTACTGTCAATACGTGATTTGTGCCATAGCCCTGTTGTTATTAAAATGACTCAAGGCTCTGTAGCTTGTTTGCAATGCACTTGTAAGAGACTTAAGACATGGTAGAAATGGGTGGGATCCGGTAACCTCTCAGTTTTCTTCTCTATCCTGTGTATGTACTGTAAGACCACTATCTGATTTTAGTTTCATTACAGTCATGCCCGAGCTGCTGCCAGTGACATACCCAAGATGCTGCAGTTTAATTTCCTGTCCAGACTACTTAGCCCACATCACAGACAAGCAAGCAAATAGATTCCTTTTGTTGCAGTGCTCAGTTTTTTTTTTCACTCCATATGTGTGTGTATGCACGGGTGTTTGTGCGTGCACGCCTCAGAAGTCATGATGGTTCCCTTCCTTGGCTGTGTTTGTGGCACTCTCGTGTCCAGCGCTGTCCACACCGCTGCCCTGGCTCTCACAGTGCCTTTAACACACAAATGCAAAGACAATAAAACGCTAACCCGCAACTTCTCTTTGTTTTGTTCTTTTGTTACAGAACACGTCAGGGATGGAGTCACAGAACCTAGTGGACGACCTGTCGCCAAAGAAGAACACAGTTCTCAAGGTGTGTGTGTGTGTGCTGTTGGTGTATACAGGCTTCAGTATCATTGAAAATATGAAAAACTATAATTTTAACAATGTTTGAAACAATTTCTCCAAGATTTACAGCCACTCAGCATTAGGAAAATATGTGATAAAGCTGACTCAAGACATGCACAGTATATGTATTAGTTCATATATTTATATTTACTTTACTTTGGTCTTAAAGAGCTGCAGTGGACCAAACCCTCACTGTACTACCATTCAACAACTTAACTGTTAATTTCTTCCCTACTGCGATTGCCGACAGCTATCTGCTCTGACCAACACCCTGTCTCTTGCTTGACCACCTGGTGCTACTCACTGAGCTGTCGTTAAAGGAGCTATGCTACTCTCATCACACGAGTCATCATTTAAACCCGGTCGTTATGTTTTTCTCCAATTAGAATGAATGTTCTTTTGCGTTTTGCTCATGTTGTTAGATGAATTGATGCCATGTCATCTATTAAGTAAAGAAGCCTGCCTGTGTCTCTCTGCGCATGACGTGTCTACTCCCACAACGACAGATCTAGGCAGAGCAAAGGGAAGTCTTGGAGAGTAGAGCAGACATAGGAACATTGCTCGCCTGGTTCGATTGGGCAGCTGACTGATTGTATTAACTAGCCCAGTGTTACTTTTTACTGGCCCCGGGCAATCGAGCAAACCTTATGGGTGGACCCTGCCTATTGTTGAGGGCTTTATCTGATTGGTCAGAGAGTTAACAGCATGGCAAGCATTAAACAAAATGGCTCCTACACACAGAAGGTAAATTATTGCGTTGCTACTACAACTTAAGTGCAGTATTACAGTGTTTCATTAGGACGATTTAAAGAAACAACTGCATATTGTGCAGCCCTAATTCTCAGTATACTGTGACATCAGAATTGTATTTTTTCCTTTCACCTTTATTCAAGTAAAAACCTCACACTGATGTTGACATTTATTTTAAAGCATCGTTTTTCCTATTCCCACACATACACCCACATCATCGCGAGCTTCGAGTGGTTTAACGAGCTTTAACCCTCAGCAATGAAAATTGATTTTTAACTTAGTCCATTGTGCAACATGAAGAGACTTCTGTTGATGTTGTTCACAGACTGTTATATGGATGGAAAAAAAGACTTGGAAAGTAATTGAGGTGATATTGTTTTATTCTGTTGTTACAAGTAGATCTGAATTCAAGTGTTTTTTGTTTTTTTTTTTTTAATTTACAGCTTAGTAATGGTCCTGTTGTGGGGTCCCGCAAGCGTCCGTCAGAGGGTAACTACGAGAAGGAGAAGGAACACTGCATCGCCCTGTTTGACCAGTGGTCAGAGGCCGACCAGGTGGAGTTTGTCGAGCGCCTGATCTCCCGTATGTGCCACTACCAGCACGGCCACATCAACTCCTACCTCAAACCCATGCTGCAGAGGGACTTCATCACTGCGCTGCCAGGTACAAATACAGATAGAAATGCAACGTTTAGTAGCATTGACGCATTGACTCATCACTCTCAGGTTTTATGAAATTGGATTTGAATTATGTCCATGCAACCACTTTTGTATGATTGATTTTCTTCATCAGATCTTCAAGGCATTTTTAATATTCAAACTAAATACCTATAAACATGGATAACAGTTAAAAATAATGAACCCTAGGCACCGATAAACTGACCAGATGAAATCCTATTCATTTTGCAACAAACACTCCACTCAGCCTTTTTCTTCCTCTCTTTAGCCCAAGGCTTGGATCACATAGCAGAGAACATCCTGTCTTTCCTGGATGCACGCTCGCTGTGCTCGGCAGAGCTGGTGTGTAAGGAGTGGCAGAGGGTCATCTCTGAGGGTATGCTGTGGAAGAAGCTCATTGAACGCATGGTCCGCACGGACCCGCTCTGGAAAGGCCTGTCTGAGAGACACCAGTGGTGAGAATAGACCTAGACCTACTACACACACACACACACATAACAGGCTGGCTATTGTTCTTTTGTTTTACAATAAGATCTAAAACTGGCCAACACTCTGGCAGAAATTAAAAGGATGCTCTCTGAGGATAAAGTTAAACCACTTGTTTTTAGTGTGCTTGTTAGTCTTTTGTTTTTTGCCAGTAGATGTAGGAAAAAAAGGAAAGGTAGAGAAGGAGGAAGTAAGTTTATACTCCGGTGCATACAAAGCAGCTGTCATTCTTATATTTGTCTTTCCCTAGGGAGAAATATCTGTTCAAGAACCGCACATCAGAAGTCCCACCCAACTCCTACTATCACTCCCTTTATCCCAAGATCATCCAAGACATAGAGGTAAGAGACAGTGAAATGGGTTTCAGTATAATGTGAACACTGTTTTCATTTACTTATTAATATAAAAATATTTTCTTTCCTTGTTAAAAATGCCACTTGCACAGAATTTATTATAGTGTGTCGAAAACCCTGGAAAGCATGAATGGGTTCATATCAGGGCTGGCACGATGCCAGATTTTCACTACATGGTTATCGTGGCCAAAGTTCACAATTACAATATTATTATGATATCTGTATTTAAAAAACATTAAAATAATGCTATCAGTCATATTCATCTTTAACTTAGTTTATTGTATGTTGTGTCTTTTTTTGCAAATGAATGTTACTCAAAATACAAAACATGAATATAGGGAGATGGAGAGAGAGTCTGTAATCACCACTGTACAAAAACATACAAAAAGAGCAATCACACTTAAGGGATAGTGACAAGGCAACCAGATGGAGTTGGGTAAGGGAGACAAAGCGAGAATGTTAGGAAGCGGAAATGATTTGAGAGGCTCTGGATTATTTACATGATATTATCACATGTATATTATTAACACAATATCAGCATTTCACTTTTAAATATCACGGTTATCGTCAGTACTGGTTTATTATGACACCCCTAGTTCATATGGACTCATTTGAACCACTTTCCATCTGGCTACATTACATCTTTAACTCCTCCTCTAATAATATTACATGACATGATATTTGCCTCCATCTTCTCTCTCTGTTCAGCTACATTGCTTCTCTTTCTCTCCTTGGTTGCCTGTTGTGTTCATCTTTCTCATTGTTTCTCCCTCCTTTCTCCAGACTATTGAGGCAAATTGGCGATGTGGCAGACACAACTTGCAGAGGATTCAGTGTCGCTCAGAAAATAGTAAAGGGGTCTACTGTCTCCAGTACGACGATGACAAGATCATCAGTGGCCTTAGGGACAATTCCATCAAGGTACGTGTGTGTAATCATAAAGGGCAGTCTGAGGTCTGTGATAGTGAATGAATTTGCCCTCTTAGGGATCTGTCTAGTCAACATGTTAGCAGGGACTTTAGTGGACAAATTAGGAAAAGGGTGTTTGTTTAATTATATGAGGTATAATTTCCTTATGTTCTAATGCCAAATCTCTCCTGTCATTGTTGTCTGTGTGGACCTGGGACCTGTATATCACCTTTCTAGTCTTCAGACTACTCCAAGCGCTTTAACTAAATATCACATTCACCCATTGACAAACATATTCACACATGGGTGGCTGAGGCTACCAAACAAGGTGCCACCTGCTACTCAGCTTAAACACACCCACACACCAATATAACAGCCATTGGGAGCAATTTAGGGTTCAGTATCTTGCTCAAGGATACTTCAACATGCGGACTGGAGGAGCTAGGGATTGAGCCACTGATCTTCCGATTGGTGGACGACCCACTATAACTCCTGAGCCACAGCCGCCCATGTTGGATGGTAGATGAACGGGCAATGCACCGACGGCTAGTGGACACAGAAACTCATTGACTAGGATTACAGCTGGTAGCACCTAGGGATGTGGCCAAAATCTTCAATCATGGTATATGTAATTTTATATCACGATAATGGTATACATCACAGTACAGTAGTTTGTATGTTGTATTTGTTTTTCTCTTTTATTTTAGTTTTTGGAACCCTAATGCAAACAAAAAACAACTGCTTCACATGAGACAACACTTTGAACACTTTAAAACAAAAGACACAAAACAGTAAAACTAAAATTATTTTTTAAGCTTTAAGGTTCCTGAGAACAGTCATTTAAAGTGTTTCAGGTTTCTGCGTTTACAACCTCACTCTCCTCCATGTCTGCCCAAATCATGTTGCAAGGCAGCTGGCGAGAATCACAAGATCACGCGAGAATCCAGCCCTGCCTGCCTGCCTGCCTGCCTGCCTGCCTGCCTGCCTGCCTGCCTGCCTGCCTGCCTGCCTGTGAGGACGGAGTTACAGAGAATGAAATGAGAGCCACACCTTCTGAGTTGACTTAAAAAAAATATAGCTCTTGGCATCTGTGTTTGACACATGCAGTGCACCTGCGCCTGCATGCCTAAAGATAACCTGATACGGTTGAGTTGTTTTGATGCAGGGGATGGTAGTCATATTTACTTGTTCCAAATTCCATTCTTAAATAATAATAGCTTAAGTTGAGTTCCTTGGCCAAAGTCCCAGCTAAAATGACATTAGCATTAGCCTCTGATGGTTCCATTTACTTTCTGCTAAGATAATATTAGCAAGGCTAATACTGTCGTAACATAATAAAACAATTTGCTTTTGGATTAGTTTTGGAACCTGAGACAACTTCATGAAACAACAGTGTAGATAATGCAGCAAACACTAACAAGAGGTTAAGTTTATACAGCAGTGTCATTATTACAAAATTGTGTGAGTAAATGCAAGATGGGAGCCAGTGTTTACGATAATTAATTTTTTTTTAAGTTCCTTGAACTGATGTCCTCTTAACATTACTTTTGTAGCAGTAAGATTACATTAATTATGGGATGAGTTTTCCCTTAAATCTTCATGCTAAGATAAACTGCAAATCCACATTTTAAAGCTGATCTTGCACACCCCTGGACATCCTTTGGTGGTTAGCATCTTTGTCACCTAAACCAAAACAAACGCACCGGTCAAAACACTGAATAAAGGATTTTCGTTAAAAAAAAACAACAACAATATTTTCCTGCCAGTGCCTGCTGCAGAGGGGCTTAGAACTATGGCGGCTGATGCATAAACTTTAATGGCCCTATCCAGAGCCAGTATTTGGTGTGTCCATTCTGGGCTACTCTAGAAACATGGCGGTGCAACATGGCAATCTCTGTAAATGGGAAACTGCTGTCTATGTGTATTTAAACGGCTAATTCTAGGGTCATAAAAACACAGTATTTTTTATTTTCAGGTGATTGTACATAAAAGAAAACATACTTACCATATTATATTCCATTTCTGCTAAAATATCCCCCTAAAATCTACACACTGGACCTGTAAGTGGCAACTGCAAAGCCCCTTTTCCCTTTCAAAATTTGTTATTTCTGTTGTCATGTTTTAAATGTCATAGCTGTGAAGGCTGGAATATCACTACACCCCTACTGGTAACACTTAAACATCAGTAACAGTATATATATTGGACTTTTACATGGTTGGAAGAAGGTTGGTTAGAAGTTTAAGTCCCATCACTTTGCTTCCTGTTGCCCCTGCTGTCCCAAAGCACCAGCAGCCAGAGTGTTGGCTCTGAGAAACACATGCATGCTGTGTGTGGTTGTTTTCTTCCTACCTGGGTTTGTGTAGTTATGAATTGAATCTTTTCTTCCAGCTCAGTATGGCTTATCATCTTATTGTCTATGGCGCTGAGCTAACCCAGCAGACACTGAGACAGAACACAAGTGAATTATAGGATAAAAAGGCTCAGCTCCAGACCCGTTGTGTGTTCCACTTATCTGTCTGGCCTGGGAGAAGAGGAAAAGATGATGAAGAGAAGGGGAGGACGGAGGGAGGAGAAGAGTGGATTTGTCTTCTTACTGTTCTGGAGGAGGCTGAGCTTGAAAGGGCTCTTACGTACACACTCAGAGCTCAGCACAGCAGTGGGGAAATGGGGCATGAACACTGCTGTGAGAATAGGCCATTCTTAGCATGGCCCAAATCTGCAACCTTTTCACAACCACTTATTATTCTTTTTTCTCTTTGTCCTCCTATCTCCCTCTGCTTCTTCGTCCTCTTCCTACTCCTGTGCTTTCTCCTGATAGATCTGGGATAAGCAGTCTCTGGAATGTCTGAAGATACTGACCGGTCACACAGGCTCAGTGTTGTGTCTGCAGTATGATGAGAGAGTCATCGTCACCGGGTCTTCTGATTCAACTGTCAGGTACGACACACATCTTGTCACAGAAAGAACACACTGTGTTTTGGAGTACGACCAGCAAGTAGTAACACTTCTGCTGAGTGTTAATTAGACTGGACGTTTTGATGAGTTGCAGGGATTTACTACTCTAATATGCTCGGATCAAATGCCAGTTATTTATCTTAAGTTCCCAACCTATTTTCAGTTTGAACATAATGTACATCCTTGGTTAAATTTGGCAACATGAGACAAAAAGTAGATGGGCATTTATAGCTACTTTATTTATGAAACTAAAATTGCACTACTATGCTAAAGTCTGCATGACACGCTCAGAGTTTACATTAGCTGGTATATGCCGGCTTTTGGACGGTATCATGTGTAGTTGTCCAACAAATTAAAACATCAATGGCCAAAATGTTTGGTGCCAAATAATTAAATTCATTAATAGCATATTAAAATAGCCTACTACTGTGTCCCCTATAAGAGCATACGCCACATCCATGGCGTTTATGGCCTTCCTCAGCATGCTCGGTATAGCTGGGTGATGGCATCACAGATTATGTTCTCCATGAAGACCTCCAACACACCACGGGTCCCCTGCTAGAGCAGACCATGAATACGCTTCACTCCAGCATGGTGAGCCAGACGGTAGCAGGCTTGGTGGTTCACACCAGAGCATGTGAGCGGAGCGGGAGGATTTTGTGTTGAGCGAGGAGCGGCTATTTTTTTAAAAGGTGGAGCGGAGCCTTATCTCTCGCTCCAATTTCGCTCCGGTCGCTCATGCCCCACCCAGAATGCATCTTTGCACCTGCGCACACCCACACTATTTTCTTTCAAAACTAGTTTACTGTGTACTTCAGAAAAGAAACTGAGAAGAGAAGCAGCGGTACCTTGGAGAACGGTCCCTAACTGCGGGGAGAGGCGAGAGGGCTTCGGAGGTCGGCCGCTTAACCTGGTCCGTCTCCTCTACACTTTGACTTATTTCCACCCTGCCAGCGGTACCGTGTAGAACAGTCCCTAACTGCGGGGAGAGGGCTTCCCCGGAGAATCTACCAAGCTCATGTTTTATTGGTGCCGTAGCATTGTTCCGACCTCTCATTAGTCCGACGTCCCGTTGTTCCGATATGTGATTATTACTGTATTTGTGTACCATAGAGGATCAGCAACGCAACAAAAGTAGGCTACTGATCGAGATACAAGTGTCATAGAGAGGAGAGAGTGAAACACCATAACCTCCTGTTATTAACTCTGGGATCCGGGTTGTGTGGGGAGCTCTCCACGGTGCTGAACGGTTCCCGGCGGGCGTATTTCTGCCTTGATGGTGTGCCGCGACCGGCTCTGGGTCAGCTGGGAAAGGCTTGAGGCGGAGGAGGCTCACGGCTTATGTGTTTGTCACTTTCTTTTTCATTTTAACCCACACCATGATCTTTTCCTAACCCTAACCAAGTGGTTTTTGTGCCTAAACCTAACCAGACCTTAACCACAGGGCATCATGATGATTTCAGAACAATGGGACTTCAGAACAATGGGTTTAATATGGTCGGAACAATGGGATGTCGGACCAACGGGCTGTCGGAAAAATGGGCACACTGGACGTGGAAGCAACACAAAGCACATAGATTTTTCTGTGGACTGCTGCCCACTTCCCTTCGATGCCCTTGTTGAGCAATGGGGCTGTTCACACTGGACATGCAATGGCCGGTTGCAATCTGCAGCATAGTTTTGGCGTCTGGTCTGTTTTCTGAAATCCGCGTGCAAATTTGGCAGGAAACATGCTGATGATCTCTTGTGAACGATATTAAAAATATATTAAATATGATTTAAATGATCTGATAAATGATAAATGATCAAATATGCGCTCCATGCCTCCACATATTAGTCAGTTGTGTCTAAATAGAACGAACAAGACAAGCAGACGGACACGCAAGCACAGGCACACACAGAGACACGTAGGCAGACAAAGACAGAGCTCTACATGTGATTCAAACAGAGCAGAATCCCTCTGTTGTTAATGGCCAGGCGGCTACATGACAGCTGACATATTAGGGCGCTTATGCGGCCATTGTGAGCATGGTGGTGATGCTTGGCACATCAAGTCCTTTTCCACATTTGCCTCTGCCACTAAACCTCTGATTAGTCACTGTTCAATACACTGCTTCTTTATTCAGCTTATTTTCAAGTTATGAAACAAGTGTGTTTCTGCAGCACACCTTCTCAAACTGAAAGGAATGCTTCATAGTGGAGATTAGATTAATGATAATTCATGTATATCGATAGCAAATAAACTGCTTACTTAAAGATCCAGTGTATAGGGTTTAGCAGTATGTAGCGGTGAGGTTGCATACCTGAAACTTCTCTCGTGTGCCATGCATGTAGGAGAACTACAGTGGCCAACGCAAAAACACAAATGGCCTTATTAGAGCCAGTGTTTGGTTTGTCCGTTCTGGGCTACTGTAGAACATCATGGCAGGCACTGTGGAAGATGACCTGCTCTGTTTGCAGATGAAAACGGCTCATTCTAAGGTAAATAAAATGCAGCAATTCTTTCTTTAAAGTTATAATAAACTAATGAAAACCATTTCTGCCAGAAGATGCCCCTAAATTCTACAAACTCGATCTTTGTAACTTTGTAAAAAGATGTAGTCAAAGCTGCATTCCTGCTCTTAGGCTACAATCAGACTGCGGGCAAATCAGATTTGTTTCTCAAATCAGATCTTACAGACGGTCCGCACTGTTAATCAGATTGGATTTGTGTTTATTGTTTATTTGGATCCCCATTAGTTGTTACCAAGGCAACAGCTACTCTTTCTAGGGTCCATGTTAGAACATAATCTTTACAAATGCTTTCGCATACAGAAATACTCCAACCTTGGCCATTGCTAACAAATTAATATACTTCCTAAAAAGCAATTACGATGAAAAAAAGAACCGATAAGGAGTATCAATAGTAGTAGTATTGATAAATTCTTAACAACACCCATTCCTGCTGATGATGTGGCTTTCCAAAGCAGCGTGCCCTCCAAACAGTCATGCACAAATTGCGATCAGAACTCCTCCGTCGCATGAGACAAACTCCTCTATAATGCTCTGCTAGCAGCAGCATGACTTCTGCTCAGCACTTTGTCAGTCTGGATTTGACTTTGTTGTTGTTTTTGGTGTTGCAAGTGACGCAAAAGACACTTTGAAATCACTTTTGAGCGGCTAAAGCGGATGGACTGAGACACATCTGTAGAAGTCCAGTTGGAATCAAATGTGGTTTGGATTTAATGTGTGTTCTTTGCCGTACAGACTTCCATGAATCAATCTGGATGAATCTGTATATGTCAAAAAACGGAGTTGGCAGTCTGAACGAGGCCTTAGTGATTAGACTGACTGATTTGTAAAGTAGCTCAAATCTTTCACCTTAATCTACTTAATCACTTCACTACATCTCAAGGTCAAAGACAAAGGAGAAAAATCTGGCTCCGTGTTTCTGTTATTTAAAGACATTCATGCCAACAAATGAACAAAGAAGCGGCTCCTGAAGTAGGTTTAAATTCAGTCAAAGTGTTCATTCAAAATGGAGTGCATCTGTAGAATATAATGAGTAGTTTATACACAGAGCAACATCTATAAAACTACATACTGTACTGTTTATAAAAGGAGATGACATATTTTGTTATCACCTGAAACTGTTGCTGTTGTGCTTAATTGCTTTAAAGGCTGCCACAATCCTGATACAGAATATTTCATGTAAAATACACCTCTGCTGTAAAGTTAACTGCAGATGATTCAAGCAAAGTAAAAGACAGAAAAATAAATTTCGACATCAGTTAATTTGATTTTTAAATGTATATTCCTAACCATAGTGCACCACAGTGTTCAAAATACAGTACTCTTGCTGTTGACGCACTATGTGTCATCTCACATACTGTATGCTTATAGTCCACTTTATACCCAGTCGTGACAAACACACCAACTGCTGCCCATAGTTTACGATGAGTTCCCACCCAACCTGCAGCTGCTCTCACAATCTGGCAGGGAAAACATAAATGTTGACGTTTATTATTTCATAATGAGTTAGATTTACTATCATTACCAGAGATAGTGTGATATGTTTTATTGCGGATATTTAAAGACCTGGCGTGTGTGTGTATGTTGACACTTGCTTGGCTACTGCACACAGAAGCTCAGCATTAATTCTCTTATTACTTCACACTTCAGCCGTACTCGCTGGGCGGTATCCAAGGAAAATGTGACTTCACTTCCTTAGCAACAGCTTGACAGGCACTTTGTTTGTAGGTTCGGTTGTCAGCTTTTTCCAGTGTGTTCTGCATTTGACTCTCAATGCCCAGCGGTGCTTTTCAGTAACATGTTCTTCACAGCCGCCCCTCTGTGTGTGTGTGTGTGTGTGCAGTTCATACAGTATGTGTGAACTCTCAGTTGCTCTCCATTGTAAAACTAATAAATATAATTCTCTCTCCTGTCTCCATTGTTTTCCTTTTTCCTTCTCTCCCATTACATTTCTTTTCCACTCTCCGTCTTCAACCTTCTTTTCTTTCATTTTGACCACTCTCCCCGCTGCCCTCGTCTCGTTTTTCTTTCCTACTCACCCCTTCCTCCTATCATTTTCCACTTTTCTCACCCCTTTGTCATTTCTTCCCTCTTGTCTCCCATTCCACATCCCCATTTTCCCTTCCTGCCTTTTCTTTTCCTCTGCCTGACACCTTTGCCCTCATCTTTCGGCCAATCTGTCATTTCTCCCCACTTCTGTTTTCTCTCCCTCCATCCCTCTCCTTCTACCGCTCACCCTCTGCAGGGTGTGGGAGGTGACGACGGGTGAGGTACTGAACACACTGATCCATCACAACGAGGCAGTTCTTCACCTGCGCTTTGCCAACGGCCTGATGGTCACCTGCTCCAAGGACCGTTCAATCGCCGTCTGGGACATGGCCTCTCCTACTGACATCAGCCTACGTCGTGTCCTCGTGGGACACAGGGCTGCTGTCAACGTGGTCGATTTTGACGACAAATATATTGTGTCCGCCTCAGGGGACCGCACCATCAAGGTAACAGGAGCTGAGGAGGTGGATTCTAGAGAAACATTTTTCTGATAGTAGCTGCAGGGTATGTTATGTTATTTGTCTGCTAAAGTCTGGAGCACACGCAGAGATTTTGTTTCCTGTTCCCACAGTTTTGTATGATAGACCTCATAATTCAGTCTGTTCAGCTGAGATACTTACAGTGTAACTAGAAATATCAAATTTGTTCTGTAGTTTCAAACCCACCAAGTGAGTTTCAGAGTGGATGTTGAAAGGCTGTACACATCTAAATAAACCCAGGCCACTGTTTCACAAAATGTTTTGTGCTGCTCTCTGCAGGTATGGAGCACCAGCACCTGTGAGTTTGTGCGCACTCTTAATGGTCATAAGAGGGGCATCGCCTGTCTACAGTACAGAGACCGTCTGGTGGTCAGCGGCTCGTCTGACAACACAATCCGGTATGTGTGAGATTAAACATATGCATGTATGTGTTACACAGACTGATGATGAATTTGAAATACAAGGACGACCAGTCGGTCAGAAAGTCTTAATTTAATCAAATGTCATTGTTTAAAATAATATCACAGTATCAAGGGTGTATTTTGCTTCGTGTTTACTAAGACTTCTCTTTCTCCAGGTTATGGGACATAGAGTGTGGAGCATGTTTGCGAGTGCTTGAAGGTCATGAGGAGCTGGTGCGTTGCATTCGCTTTGACAACAAAAGGATTGTCAGCGGCGCCTACGACGGGTTAGTCTCACTCACTCACTCACTCACTCACACACACACACACACACACACACACACACACACACACACACACAGCTTTGTGCACAGAGACGCATTTTGTTTCTGACGTCATGTCATCTCATGTTTCTCTCTGCAGGAAGATCAAGGTGTGGGACCTGCAGGCAGCCCTGGACCCACGAGCCCCCGCCAGCACATTATGTCTGCGCACTCTAGTGGTGAGTGTCATTTCATTTAGCTTGTTACAACATGGCTGACTGACGGAGCAAATGAACAGGTCTCTTTAACTGCAGCTCCTTTAAAGCACTTTAGCTGTTGCCTTAAAAGATCTCAGTTATACAGGAGTAAAAAATAAAACTTCTCTGAAAATACAGTGTGATTTTGTTTTTCACATTTGTTGTAAAACTGTTAGGAGAGCTGGAGATTTAAGTTTATTATCATTGGTTGTGTTGCTATTTGATTCTTTGCGTAATACTGAGAGGCTTTCCAGTATTCAGTCTTCCCTCATTGATCTAAATGAAGTGGACAAAACATTCAGAACACCTCTGTTGTATTTGTGATGTCTTGGATATGGATGTGGTGCCGCCAGCCGGCCTCAACATTGAGAGTTTGCTTTTGATATCAAACAATCTTTAATGTTCGGTCGGTTAACTTGCAACCGATGCATTTCATTGATGACATCACAAATGTCCATGTTTTTCTTACAGTCTGTGGTCTGCCTGTGTGCACAGCATGTTAACATAACCTCTTTATTTATCATGTTTTCAGGAGCACTCTGGCCGCGTGTTCCGCCTCCAATTTGATGAGTTTCAGATCATCAGCAGTTCTCACGACGACACCATTCTGATCTGGGACTTCCTGAACGTCTCGACCAACGGCCAGTCAGAGGGACGGTCTCCCTCCCGCACCTACACTTACATTTCTAGATAGCAGGTACAAAGACACACACACATTCACACTTAGCTGATCTGACCTTTTTGTAAAACTGTTGCGTATGAGGTTGTGTATGTGTTAGGGCTGTACCGAATAATTAAAAGCTTTGAAGCTTCATTTATAATGTTTATCTGAATTCTAAATCAACTTTCCAATGCTGCACAGCATTTTTCTGCTCTTTTTCATGTCTATTTATTCTGTTTACACCCAATATTTCTGCACAGTTGCAGAGAAAGATTAATCTATGTCAGTGGTTCCCAACTGGTGCAGCCACAGGGTCCAGATTTCTCCTTAGTCATTAGTTCAAGTTCCAGTTTAATATAATCAGCAGCTCACACTCATAGTGCCTGTTTGTCGTCGAGCTAGTTTGCAGTCTCTGTTAAGTGGCTGTTCGGTGTTCACTCGCTCTACTGTAGAAAACTTCAAAATAAAGCACTGTGCTGGGAGTTATCTGTACTTAAAAATAAAGTGTGTGTTTTTACAAAGTTGACATGTTCGCAGGTCTTTTGTGGTTCATTTAGAATGGACCCACGACCCACCAGTTGGAAACCATTGGACTACGCTGTTGTTATTAGCATTATACTTATTTGCAGAATTAGATTCCAGTGGTGGCTGCGTAGGATTTTGGAAGTCCAAAAGTCAAGATTTAGAAAAAGAAGGGATATTTGTTTTTATTTCCAAAATTCACAGCATGTTTTAGACTGTATTTTTTTTTGCATTTAGCCTTTAAAATCAACACATTCCCTACATTTAAAAAAGCAGTTTGCTCTCTGTTTACCCCACACAAAGGTAGACACCCAGCTGTATTAGGGGGGGTGGTCTAGCAGCATCTCAGCACTATAAATTACATTTATTAGTAATAGGAAGCAGATTTATTAAAAAAAAGATAAATTATTCAAATGAAGGATTTTGTTAGATTTGAAAGTCTTAATAGAAGATGTTAAACAGATGACGCTGGTGCAGCCTTATTATTTGTGCATGGTTAGAGAACCGTGTTCAGTCAGTATGTTTTACACTTTGAGAGACCCGTGTGTGATTACAGACTCCTTGCTACCCCCCCAGGTGGCGCCATCCACTGCATCCTTTCTTGGAGGAGCCCAGGGCTGATTGGCTGATGGGTGCGTCCATCATGGAAAGGAGCCCATCTCTTCTCCTTCCTCCTCGTCATCTCTCTGTCCACCTCCCACCCCAACACCTCCACCTCCCTGCCCGTTCTGACAGACTCTTGAGCTTGGGCCCATTGCCTGCCAGTACCGTGACATGCACACACACAGACACACATACACACACACACAGGTCAACACTGATGAGGATTCCCGACTACAGAACCGATGCAACTCTCCCAAGAAGTTCACCTTCTACTACTAATTTATGTTTTGTAAAGTACACTAATGACAGTATTAACTTAGACCTTATATAAGTCACAGGCTCCCTTTTGTCCCCTTGATACAAACTTAAAGCAGCTTGTGCTCCTCAGTTTTCAGCGCCTGCCAAAACAGGTTTCCACAGATATGGAATCGCTTATAGATATATATTTATATATATTACACACACATACACACACAAACACACACACACAGTGACACAGTTGGACAGAGGATGACCGGAGCTGTGATGCGGGAGACAGAGACTCTTTACTCAGCTCTAGGAAAGGAGGGAAGGATGGGAGATGGAGGGAGTGAATGAGGGAGAAATGTGTCGGGGGGATGACTCCCCCGCTCCCTCTCACTCCCTCACACTCCTCCCTGTCTCTCGCTCTCTCTCCACCCCCCCTTCCCCCCCTCTAACCCCCAGAGATGCACACTCGCTTGGAACATGGGGGCGCGCACACACACTCAAGTTTGCGTGAGTGTGTGTTTGTGTATGTGGACTTGTGAAACGACAGAGCAGAAGCGTCAAACAGACAGACATGCATGTGAGGTTGCCGTGGATACAGCATCCCGGTACACCTCTGCTTTTATTTCTCTTTAACTCTTACTTTCTTACTGTTTTTTATTACTGTTATTTTCTCATTTTATTTGAGTATTTTGGTTCTTAGTACAAAAATCATACTAAGCGTAGTCCTCTTTCTACTCCCCCTCCCCTCCTCCTCTCTATCTCTTACTGTCTTCTCCTCATTCTTTCTTCTAACTTCCACCCTTGTTCATCTGTCCCTTTCACTCCATCTTTCTCTCCCCCATCATCTACGTGCTTGCTTTGGTTATGAGAGAAGCTGGAACTCAAGAGCTCAAATTTAGCTGTAAACGGAGTTGTCTTGTCAAAAATTGTGTTGTATATTAAAAATGATTTTTTAAAGAAGAAAATGACCTTATTGTGAATAAAGTACTTGACAGTGGTGGAGTGTTGAGCCAACTGTAACATGAATGAGTGTCTAATTGTCTGTCTGTTCTTGTCTGTGTGTGCATGTGTGGGTGGATTTGTGCTGTGTTGCCTCTATCTGACGGGTAGATACAATTCAGCGGGCCGCCACTCTGTTCCCTCGGTGCTTCAGTAACAACAGAAGAATCGCTGGCTGTCTGTCCCGCAGACAAAGAATGTAGATATGAATTTGTAATGCGTGAAATTCCTGATTGTTCACAAAAAAGACTTAATACACAAAAAACCCCTCAAGATCCAGTTACTAGATTTTCTTTCTGGAGACAACAGCATCTTGAGGTCTTCCTCAGTTGACAAGACTCAAAAGTCAACAACTCAACTGAGCAAACTTGGTCTGAAAGCTCAGTGAATCAACTGGTAGACTGGACCTTTAGTAAATTATTTAATCTTTGGTATAACTGTTTTCAAGGTCAAGATGTACGCTCATGCTCCACTTAAAACTGTGAGCGTTTACCTGCACAATCGTGTCCCAGTTACGAGTCTTATCCTGGTTTTTTGATCTTATTCTAGGGTTTCACTGATTCAAAGCTGAGACAGCTGTTTACATCTGATTACATGTGCATGTACTATGTCAGCAGCGCTCACATAGACTACATTTTGTTCTCATTTCATGTAGTCTTATTGTTTTTTTTCTGGGATTTTAATACCTGTTTGAGATTTTAAAAAATTGTTGAATTGTAATTCATGTTAATTTGAAGATTTTTTTTTTTACTTAGTTGCTGATGAATGCTTTATTATTTTAATCATATCTATGTAAATATTTGTTCAAGCCTAATGTTGCCTTACACATAAAAGAGTGATGTCAGTCACCTTCACATAGTAAGGCGTACAACTTATTAATTAAACACTGGTATTGGCTCGCTGTTCAGTATCGGCTGATACGTAGAGCCCAGGTGCTGACACATCTGATCATCTGTGTGTAGCTTTATTTTGATTTCTCACCATCTCAGCCACCATGTTGTTTACTAACACACACTATCAGAGATCTCCAGGTAGCAGATCCAGGTTTCTTCAAACCAGGTCATGATGTTTACAGCAGCACAGCACAACCAGGATACTCCAAAAATGTGATCTTAACGAAGACTCTAGTGCACAAATTTCTGATTTCAGACTGCAACAATGTTTGTAAAGAACTTCTGGAATGTGATGTCAAAGGTTCAGAGCTTTAGATTTTATAGGACTCTACAGAAACCTGCTGTAGCTGCAGTGAAATGTAAATGATTGTGGGTGAGGAGTACATGTCAGCATCTTTTATATCTGGATAGCAGCGCTTAGGTCAGTAGTTTTAAATCACCTGTTTGTCCCATCACATTCTACAAACAGTAGTGGACACACCTGCTCTTGAAAATACATTTGCAACAGACAAAATATGTGGGCACAGATGAAACAAAGCTGACCTCAGTGTTGTTACACATTGACCTGTAGTTACTGGTAATTTACTTTGCACACATTTGACCAGAGAAGCCAAAGAATCCTGTATGCTGTCAATAACGTATACTCACTTTATTAATAATCTTTCAATCCTCAGGCTTTGATTACGCGAAGTTAATTTAGACATTTTTTGTAACTTACATAATGCCAGTGCAAGTGATTGATAGTCGAATTCTTTTTTGACAGTCAAAAGTTATATATACAGTAAGAAGTTCAAGAAGTTAAGACCAGTTTGCGTCCACTAAGTCACGGTATCAAAGGGAACTTTGTTTCATTTGTAACCTCATTTTATGTGTTACAAAGTAATTTGATTCTGCACACCTGTCAGTCAGATTTTCCAGTTTACTTTCATTATTGTTACTTTTTTTTTTTTTGCAATTTGGACTTGAAGTCATTTAACGAGAAACAAATGTTGGTCTCACTGTGTTGTGTGATGTCAGTGTGTTTAGGATGGCCACCAGGTGGGAGTATAAATTCAGCTATCTGCCTCAGTGTGATGTGTTTATGAGACCTGAGCTCTGAATGCTTGGTAGCCAAGTTTGGAGTCTAAACAACCTGTTACAGTAGATCACATACTCAGTCTTGTAAACACTGTAAGTGTGAAGGAGGAATGTGTGTTTGAGATGCTATAAGTGGTGCCTTTACAGCACAGACCTGGCCAGTGTTGCAGAGCTCTATGATGCATCTGTCTGCTTATTGTACAGTGTGCATTCTCTGAACTCTGAGGAGGGGAGTTGGTTTTTCTGAATTTCTGGGTTCAGTTTAGTAGAATGTTTGAAATACTGGGAATAAGTTATGTGGGATGGATTTGTGCTTGGTGGAGCACCATTAGTATATGATGTGTGTATGAGTTGGATATGGGTGTGTGTGCTTCCTCTGGGTCTGTGGGATTTTGGCCCATAATTCCTGCAGCTCTCAGGTCACAGCTCCGTTCTCACGCACATATTTGGCATTCCTTCCCCGACATGATTACCATACACCTTCCACTCTGGGTTTGGCTACGCGGAATATTTCCATCATTCCCGAGTGGAACTGGAGCAACGTTCCAGAAATGAACAACTCACCCCACCACCCCCCTACTCGCTCTTCTTTATCCCACCCCCACACCCCGTTTCCCTCCCACCCCACTGTCTCCCCCCCTTATACCACCCCCCTCCAGCACAGATTCCTGCTGCCTTGCAATAGGAATCCTCTGGTACAACCCTTTTTTCCCCCTGAGTCAGCTGTTTGTGTCTGCCGGCATGATTGGGTCATTTGGCAGCGACATCTCTTCAGTGACCTCCCGCTAGGATGGGGAAGGAAGGGGAGGGATGGGGGGATAAGAGCAGGATAGATGAGAGAAGAAGCAGCTATGAAACTCTATCTCACTACTGCATGTTTCCCTTCCACTGTTCTGTCTGATCCCTCGTGCTCCATATTCATGGCAAAACTTCATAATGTGGAGGTCACTGTTGACTTTTGCAGAACAGTACGTGTTCAGCAGTTTCAAAGGGTCCCTGAGTGAGACTGGTCCTAATCTTGGGTTTGTATTTTTTTAAGCAAGTTGAGTTTCAAGCTTCAGGGACTACTTCAACCCATTCTGAAAAGACTGTGACAACTATAAAATCCATTTGACTGCAGCCTGTGCATCTTTGCACCTTGTCTCTATTGGAAATCTGCTGGTGAGATGTTAATGCGGTAAAGTAGTTGGGGAACTTGATGAATTGGCATGATGAACATGACAGGCTGCTGGTGGCCCTTGATACTTGCTTGGAGCTTATTAGGTATACAGTTTTCCAATAACTGCACTGCAACTAAGTAAATTTGAGTAGCACTTAGCCTTTTCTTATCTATAAAATGCCAAATGAAAAAATGAATAATAAATTAAAATAGTGAATAATGTCTATTAGGAGTAGCATATGTGGATACATAAAATATAGAAATAATAAAACTCAATCAACTCAAAAAGTATAGTATGTTGTAAAAATTGTAGAAATACGTAAAAGCAGGTATCAAAGAATAGTATGTGATTAAAACATATAAAAAGGCATAGTACTGTATGTCATAAATACAGTCATACTATAGCATGTCCCAGAAAAGGTAATAGTATAGTATGTCGTAAAAATATGATTGTATATGAGGTCATCAAAATGTGATGAAAAAGTCATAGAATAGTATATCACCAAAATTAGATGAAAAGTCATAAAAATATGATAAAGTCATAGTATAGCATGACATAAAATTTTAATAAAAAAAAATCATAGTATAGTATGTCATCAAAATGTGAAAAAAGTCATAGTAGAGTATGTCGGCAAAATGCGTTAAAAAAAAGTCATACTATAGTATGTCATGAAAATGCGATTAAAAAAGTCATAGTATAGCATGTCGTAAAATTTTAATCAAGAAAACATATAGTACAGTATGTCATAAAAATGTGATTAAAAAAGTCATAGTATATTATGTCATAAAATTTTGATCAAAAAATATCATAGTATGTCATCAGAATGCTAGTATATCATAAAAATATGATTTAAAAAAGTCATAGTATAGTGTGCCATAAAAATGCTATAAAAAGTCATTCTATAGTATGTCACAAAATTGTGATAAAAAACATCATAGTATAGTATGTCATAAAATTTTGATCAAAAAGTTATAGTATGTCATAAAAATGTAATAAAAGAGTGATAGTATATAGTATGTGGGGAAAAAAAGTCATACTATAACATGTCATAAAAATATGATCAAAAAATATTATAGTATAGTATATCAAAAAATTATGATGAAACAATATCATAGTATAGTATGTCATCAAAATGTGGAAAAAAAAGTCATAGTATAGTATGTCATTAAAATGTGATTAAAAAAATCATAGTATATTATGTCATAAAATTGTAATAAAAAAGTCATAGTATATTATGTCATAAAATTGTAATAAAAAAGTCATAGTATAGTATGTAAAAAAATCTGAAAAAAAGTCATGCTATAGTATGTCAAAAAAATATGACAAAAAATATCATAGTACAGTATGCATCAAAATTTTATAAGAAAAAGTCATAGTATAGTATGTGATTTAATGTGTCAAAAAACTCAGTATATAGTATGTGAAAAAACATCAGAAAAAAAGTCATACTATAGTATGTCATAAAAATATGATAAAAAAATTATCATAGTATAGTATGTCATCAAAATGTGGAAAAAAAAGTCATAGTGTGGTAATGTCGTAAAATTTTGATCAAAAAGATAATAGTATAGTATGTCATCAAAATGTGATTAAAAAAAGTCATAGTATAGCATGCCATTAAAATATAAAAACAAGTCATATTATAGCATGCCATAAAAATGCTATAAAAAGTCATTCTATAGTATGTCACAAAATTGTGATGAAAAAACATCATAGTATAGTATGTCATCAAAATTTTGATCAAAAAGGTATAGTATGTCATAAAAATGTAATAAAAGAGTGATAGTATACAGTATGTGGGAAAAAAAATCCAAAAAAAAGTCATACTATAATATGTCATAAAAATATGATCAAAAAATATCATAATATAGTATGTCATAAAAATGTAATAAAAAAGTCATAGTATAGTATGTCAAAAAATTGTGATGAAAAAATATCATTGTATAGTATGTCATCAAAATGTGATTAAAAACGTCATAGTATAGTATGTCATAAAATTTTGATCAAAAAGTTATAGTATGTTATGTCATAAAACTGTAATAAAAAAGTCATAGTATATAGTATGTGGAAGAAAAATCTGAAAACAAGTCATACTATAATATGTCATAAAAATATGATCAAAAAATATCATAGTATACTATGTCATAAAAATGTGATAAAAAAAGTCATAGTATAGTATGACAAAATATTGTGATGAAAAAATATCATTGTATAGTGTGTCATCAAAATGTGATTAAAAACGTCATAGTATAGTATGTCGTAAAATTTTGATCAAAAAGTTATAGTATATTATGTCATAAAACTGTAATAAAAAAGTCATAGTATATAGTATGTAAAAAAAAAACTGAAAAAATGTCATGCTATAGTATGTCAAAAAAATATGACAAAAAAATATCATAGTACAGTATGCATCAAAATTTTATAAGAAAAAGTCATAGTATAGTATGTGATTGAATGTGTTAAAAAAGTCATACTATAGTATATCATAAAAAATATGATAAAAAAAAGTCATAGTATAGTATGTCAAAAAATTTTGAGCAAAAAAAATCATAGTATAGTATGTCATCAAAATGTGATTAAAAAAAGTCAGAATAGAATGTCATCAAAATGTGATCAAAAAGTCAAACTATAGTATATCATAAAAATATGATAAAAATAATTAATAATTAATATAGTATGTCATCAAAATGTGATCAAAACAAGTCATAGAATAGAATGTCATCAAAATGTGATCAAAAAGTCATACTATAGTATATCATAAAAAAAAGATTTAAAAAAATTATAGTATAGTATGACATTAAATGCGTTAAAAAAGAAA